GGATTATTTACTTTATTCTGGGGGAAGACAGAACCTTGGTGAGACATCATCTAAGGTCAGAGGCATTGGGCTGACATGCAGGGAGAAGTCTATTTTTTTTCCTGGTTGGGACATAGAGTAGCAGCTTGAAGTTCTGTCAAGGGATCCAACATAATATTTTCTCATCTACTTTTGGAGATTATACAACCTCAGTTAAAGTTCCACATCATTTCTAACCTCACAATCAAGGCTATGACTTTTTAGACTTAAAATAATACTGAATAATTATTTAATACCTTCAACTTTTATTATTACCTGCAACTTCATTCGTTATTTAATTTTTGCATCATTGCTACAAGACAAGTAGGAGAAAATGGTATTAACTACATTTTAACAACTGAATCTTAAAAAGGTTATGACAAGACTTCAGCTTTGACAAAGTGGGAATAGAGAGTGGATCTCCTTTTTATGAGTCAACTTCTCTCTCTCAAACATCATCCTACCCCCTCCACTGAATTTATTCAAATATTTTTGAGTGCTTGATTTCTACCAACAATATGCTAGGAATGCCATGTTAAATAAGAAAGACATTTAGCTTTGAAAAAGAGACTTGTAGAAGACTTGAAGACAAGAAGCCAGGCAGCCAGATGGAAAGGCAGAGGTATTTCTAATCTAAAGAAACTGCTGCATTAACTGATCCAAGGATCTGTTTCTCTGTTGCCAATACTAGGTCCTAGAGGTAAAAGCAAACAAACAAAAAAATTAAAGCAGCACATTATTAACTTGAATCCTGGGTAATAAGTAGATGAGGATGGCAGGTTTGTTTTGTTTTGTTTTGTTTTGTTTTGTTATTTTTTGTCCTTTGGCATCCATCCAACTTTCTAGACCGAATTCAAGCAAGAACAGGAATCCAGATGGGCTTCGCCATACCTAGGAAAAGAGAAACACAACTCCTTCACCAGACAAGGACGAGAAGCACCATCAATAACTCCACAGGGCTTAGGTGCAGGCATGCCAAGCCTTTGAATTATCATACCAAACAGATTAATCAGGAAAATAATTATGGCTTTATTTATTTGTTTATATACTTATTTTTGCCTCACCTGAGGTGCTGGGGGCCCCCAGGGTGCTTGTGAGGCCAGGTGGTGACAGAATCAGGGGGTTTCTGCATATTAGGCGTGCACTCCCACCCTTTGAGCATTTCTGCCTTTGTTGTTGTGAGTACCATACTCCTGAGGGTTCTTTTTTAGGGGGATGAGAGGTATGGTCAAACCCCATTCCTGATGGTTTTATGAACACACACACACACACACACACACAGACACACACTCAAACAACTGTATCATATCTTTCCTTCCCCCATTCTGCATCTTTATTTTTAGCCCCAAGCTTCCCCCTGCAACACAATTTATCTCAAAATAAGGAGCGATAGCACAGCGGGTAGGGCGTTTGCCTTGCACACGGCCAACATGGCCGACCCGAGTTCGATTCCTCTGCCCCTCTCGGAGAGCCTGGCAAGCTACCGAGAGTATTCGATATGCCAGACACAGTAACAACAAAGTCTCCAATGGAGACGTTACTGGGCCTGCTCGAGCAAATCGAGCATCCTTTGTAGGACTGGAGTAAGAGCATAGTGGGGTAGGGCAGTTTGCTTTGCATTCCACTGACCCGGATTCAATTCCTGGCATCCCATATGGTCCTCCAAGAGCACCACCGGAAGTTGTTCCTGAGTGTAAAAAAATCATTTGCAGAGGGTGTCTCTGTCATTTTGTACTGTATCCTGGTTCCACCCCTCATATAGTCACACAATGCTGCCCACAAGCTTTACCTGAGTTACTAAAGAAGGGCTACACATTAAGTCCTGTCTTCTTTCTCTTTGGGGATTAGGAATGGGAGCAGGAGATTGTTGAGCAATATGTGGTGGTGCTCAAGGAATACTCCTGGTTCAGTGCTTGGGGATCACTTCTAGCAGTGTTCGATGAACTCTGTGGTGCCAGGGATGGAACCCAGTCTTTCTGCATGCAAAGCATTTGTTCAGACCTTTTAGCCATTTCTCTGGCTCTCGAGTCCTATGTTCTGCTTAGAAAGTCTCTGACAGTCACAGGATGTCAGTGCTGATGCCTAAAAAGTATCTTGTTCAGATTGCCCGCTTTTAACAATTTAGTCATTTAACCATTTATCCATTTTGCTAAAGAGGAAACTGAGGAATAGCTTGCTTGCTTTCTTTCTTTCTTTCTTTCTTTCTTTCTTTCTTTCTTTTCTTTTCTTTCTCTCCCTTCCTTTCTTCCTCTCCCTTTTCTTCCTTCTCTCCCCTCCCTTTCTCCCTCCCACCCTCCCTTTCCCTTCCTTCCTTCCTTCCTTCCTTCCTTCCTTCCTTCCTTCCTATTGAGAGTGGATCTTCTGTTTATGAAAATCCACTTTATTTCTCTTTCTTTCTTTCTTTCTTTCTTTCTTTCTTTCTTTCCTAAAGAAAGAAAGAGAAATAATCTCTTCCTTCCTTCCTTCCTTCCTTCCTTCCTTCCTTCCTTCTTTTTTTCCACCACATCCAGAAGTGCTCAGGGATTACTCCTAACTCTGTGCTCCTACCAGAATCACTCCTGGCAGACCCAGGGGGACATATGGGGAACCAATGATTGAATCCAGGTTGATCTGCAAAACAAGCACCCTATCCCCTGTACTATCGTTCCTGTCCTAGGAGTCATGCTTTCATTGACTCAGATTACTATTACTATTACTATTATCATTATTATTATTATTATTGTTGCTGTTATTAAATTCGGGGCCATATGTGGCAGTGCTCAGAGGTTATTCTCGAGCAGAAGCTCCCACTAGGGTTTCAAGGATCATGTACCAGGGATCAAAACCAAATACTAGTTTGTGCTCTAGTCCTTTGTGATTGAGATGCTTAATCTATTTTTATCCATTTAGCAAATATTTCTAAGAAACTCCCTCCCAAGAGAGTGGCAGACAAAGAGCCACATATGTCACTGGAGAGAAATGAGTTCATTTTTGACCTGATAACTCACACCCTAAAGAAAGACAGATCTCAATCACAGCAGTCATGTGAGCAAACATCGTGCATTGTGTCAATGGCTAAAACACAAAGAAGCACAGGCTTAAACGAAGGATTGCTATTTTGCCATGAATGGTCAGAAAAGGTGTGAGTATGAATTTTAGGTCTCAAGTACTGGGTAGAGGAAGAACGGCCCTTCCTTCCTTCCTTCCTTCCTTCCTTCCTTCCTTCCTTCCTTCCTTCCTTCCAGTCCAGTGATAGTGTATCTAAGGGTGGGAAAGAAGTGATGTTCTGAGAAGCTGAGTAGTGTTTGGGTTGACTATACTTGAAGTTACAGCCATTTTGTGAACGTTACCATGTTTGGTACACAGACAAACTAATTTAATTTCTACCTTATTTAATAACACACTTATAAACTAGGAATTTATCCATTTAACAATATTTGCTGAGGACTGGGGAGATAGTTTAAAAGAGCTGGATGCATCCTTTGATGCATTACTCAGCCTTGATTGCTGGGACCATATGATTCCCCTCCCCCCGCCCCCCCACCAGAGTACCACCTGGAGTGACCTCCCAGCATACAGTTGAAAGTATCCCCAGATCAACACCTAATGTGCCCCCATAACAAAAACAAACCAAAAAAGCCAAACCCAGTATCTATTGAGTACCTATTATGAGTCAGGCAAGTTGGACGCATTGAGGGCATTGCAAGTAAAACAGAATAATTCTCTCAGTCATAAATGAAGAAGAATATATCAATCCTTCGGGGGGTATTTACATTCTGGAACTTGTTTATTAAGTGAGATGTATGGGTGTTAAGGCACAGATTCAGGGGTACACAGGATCTATTTGGGCTCTTAAACACCATTCTGTGCCACTATTGAGGAAATCTGGAATTTGGAGTTGAAATCATTTTGTTTTTCCTGATGCAGTGATGTAGAGTTAAAATTTTTAGAAACAAGAATAAGAGGTATAAGGTATAAGGATCCCTATAGGATTTTGTGCAGGGGAGTGATAGGGGAAAAAAAAGGTGCTGCTTCTTTTTTGTTCTATCTCTCCCCATTCTGCTTATAATCAGAGGTTGACACCTAAGCCTTCCCTTCTTCACACACATACAATTTTTACATACATGAGACTGATGGGGCCAATCCATGTGCATTGCACCCCCAGGATCGGAGTGAGTTTCATGAGTTTCAATAAGTACCTGGCACTTTGCTGACCACAATTTGAAAGTTTATCTCCTGGCTCAATCGCTAGGAGTTCAAAGTTAAGGTGTTAGAGAAAATGATAGTGTTAGTAAAGTGAGTGAGATTAATAGCTGTAAATCTGAATCAAGCCTCAGCTTTCTCCTGAAACTCAGCCCCTATGAGGAAACTGAAAAAGTTTGTCTGAAATGTTTTGGAAGATGAGTGTCCATGATTTGGGCTCAAGTCTGTAGTTCTTGCAGAGTTGAAATTGTGCTTCTTGCTAGAGTGTTGGTCTGGACTTTGAACCTCGAACCCCAACCGTTTCGCAGGTTTTGAGGTGGCGGTTGAGAGACACCTGCGAAAACGGAACTGGTCAGAGGGAGGATTGATAAATAACTGGGGGAACGTTGTAAAGGAGGAAGACTTGTCTGAGAAAGGAAAACCCAAGGCATGCACATAATAAATGAGCGCTGGAGGGGATGAGATGGAAACAGATGGAGAAAGAGAGAGGTGAGATGGAAACGCTGAGTGGAAATGTTCAACTCTTTAGACTCTTTAGACGGAGAGCAGAGAGACCGGACCCAGGTCCCCCGCGCAGGGAGCCTGGCACAGACGACTCCAGGAGGTCGAGAGCAGCCTCAGCTGTCAGCCGGGAACAAAGGCCTGGGAGAGGCGAGGACCAGGGTCTGGCCCCGCCCAGGCCAATGAGAGGCGCGGGATATGGCCCCGCCCCGCCCGGCCCCGCCCCTCCTGCCCCGCCCCGCCCCGCCCTGGCCTATGATCTGCGGCGCGCTGGCCCCGCCCCGCCCGGCCCGCCCCGCCCGGCCCCGGGACCCGCGCAGAGGCGGGCGAGCCTGGAGCAGGCGGGCTGGCAGCCGACTGGCTCAGAGGCCGAAAGTTTCTCTGCCCTCTGCATCCCGTGAGCCAGAGCCAAGGAACTGCGCGGGCGCCACGGGAGCCGCCCGGCCGGGCCGCTCTGGAGAAGAGACGGGGACGCACGCCGAAACCTCGGGAAATAAATTCTCGGGTCCGTCCGAGACACCGCGGGGGGCAGGTAAGGTGCGGGGCGCGCGGGGGTCTCGCTCCCTTCCGAGAAGTGGCACCACCGGCGCCCAGTCTCTGGGAAAACTGCATTCCCGGAGCGCGCAGTTGCGTCCGTGCGTCCGCGCGTCTGTCGGGCTTTGTCTGTCTGTGTCAGGGTCTTGGTGTCTTTGTCTCTGCGTGTAATTGTCAGGGGCTCCCCCACTTCCAGAGTGGGTGCTGCTGATCGGGTCCCAGCACGGAAGAAAGGAGGGTGCGTCCGACCTTCCGTCTTTGTCTCCGATTCTTACACCAGGGGTTATCTATCGGTGCCCAGATCCGTATCTGATTTTGATGGGCAGGAATGATCCGTGGTCCTGATGTGGAAGGGGATGCGAGGGAGATGGGGGTGGTGGTCACAGTGGGTCTGACAGTTGGGGGCTAGGACTCTGAACTTGGCTCTCTGGAACTTTGGAAAAGGCTCTGTCCGCACTAGTAGCAGAAGCCAGGAAGGCAGTTAGAGGTTTGGAATGTTTCACCGATGGAATATGTCACAGCCGATGAAGTGGATAAAAAGAGAGTGATGAGCTGCGGTATTTAAGTGGCCCCCTGGTGCTGCAGGTCACTAGGGTCAGTCCTGGACAGCGATTCAGTGAAAGCAGCACACACTCTGCTGAGTCTCACACCCACATACATCCACACTCACTTCTTTCTCTGACCCTGTACAGGCAGCCAGCTCCCATTTCTCTCAATTTCCTCTCTCTCTCTCTCTCTCTCTCTCTCTCTCTCTCTCTCTCTCTCTGTGTCTCTCTATCTCTGTCTCTGTCTGTCTGTCTCTCTATCTCTGTCTCTCTGTCTCTGTCTCTGTCTCTGTCTCTCTCTCTCTCTCTCTCTCTCTCTCTCTCTCTCAACTCAACAGCAATAGTCACCTAGGCACCCAAACAAGAAGGGCCAGGAGATGCTTCTCTTTCCTGTTACAAGTGACCAGGATTGAACTTTGGAGCAAATGAGTGTCACCTAGGAAAGCACTTGAGATTAATTACCTTCAAATCTTTTAATTCCTCAAAAGCAAGGGGTACTTAGTAGGAACCTGAGGAATTTCAAGGTCCTTCCCCTGCTATTCCATCCATAGTCTCCTGTGACTCTGGTCTTGAAAGCTGGTGAGTGAGGAGGAACTGAATTCTTTAGAGCTCCGGCAGGCAGGAACTACGCCAGTAAGTGTCTCCTGCTCTGCTGGAAGTGCAGCCTAATTGCAGTCGTGGGAGATGAGCAGTCCAGCCACAGAGATGAACTATCTGGCAATTCCTGTACCAGAGATCCTGGAGTCTGTGGGAAGGTGCAAGAGAGTGCACCCTATACCTTGAGCATCCTCTGAGTTTAAAAACAATTCTCTGGTGATGGAGTGATAGTAACAGCGGGTAGGACGTTTGTTTTGCATGCAGTCTACCTGGGTTCGATCCCCAGCATCCCATATGGTCCCCCAGCACTGCCAGGAGTGATTCCTGAGTGCAAATCCAGGAGTAACCCCTGAGTATTGCTGGGTGTGACTCCCAAAATATAATAATAATAATAATAATAACAATAACAATTTTCTGTGACCATTCTGGGGGGAACTGGAGGTGCTGGAAATGTGTGTGTCTGTGTACATGAAAATGGGTATTAGCGGCAGCTTTTACAGGTGGGAGGGTGTTGTTCAAGGGTGGAGGACAGTCTGTGGGTGGAAATCTATGGGTAGAGGCACACACTAATCAGGCAGGGCATCACACCTTGTATTTATCCACTGCCTTTTCTAGGGCCTTCCACACATCATAGACGTTATCTCATTTGCTATCTCCTTTATCCTCACGACATAACTACCAGGTTGGTATGAAGTGAGGATAAGTTGTTCTGTGGTGAAGAAGCTGACCAGAGGGGCAGAGCTTTCCCACAGTCACAGCGAATGGCAGCAAAGTTGGGTTTAGCGATGGGGAGTCCAAGTGCAGGGTCTCCATGGAATAGTTGTCAACATGAGGTCCTCACTCTGTGTGAGATGAGGTGAAAATCAGAGGAAGTTTCTTGAAGGTGTCTGTGCTTCGCGGGGCAAAGCCAGTTTTCACAGTGCCATTTGTGCATTTAATGCATCTGCAAAAGACTGTGTGTGCCCCCAGCAGATGTTTGTCATAGGGGCTGCCCTGTAGACTGTTGGGGAGAGCCAGTATAAATGTGTGAGGAAAAGATTTGTCAAGCATTATGGGAAAACCTTGTATGGATGAAGTAGTAGATAGGTCCTAGCCATATAAAATGACTTTCTGATCCTGGAAACTCATGATTATACCTTCGCAGTTACTCAGCTTCATTAAATAAATATTCATTGGATGCCTACAAAACGCACTTTAGCCAGGCAGTGAGGCTACAGAGATGAATAAGGTAATGCTGCTGATGAACCTATGATTAAGCTGTATAGATTAGTATAATAAGTATTTAACATTTAATGGCACTAAGTAGGCTGCATGTCTAGTATTTCTTTTTTGGAGGGTACACCTGGCAGGACTTGGGGACTATAGGCAGTGCTAGGACCTTTGTCGTGGTCACAGCTGCATGCAAGGCAAATACCTTAACCTCTGGTATTATTCTACTGCCTAACACATGTCATTCATTATTTCATTTATTTCTCAGTGCAGTCCTGTAGGATGTGCATGATAATCAGACAAGAAGCATTCATGCTGTAGTTGAGATAGAAAATGGAGCTACATTCTGAACTCAGTTCAGTTCAGCCCCTGACTTTGCACTTTTTTGCTACCTTTGTTTATTTTATTTTATTTTATTTTTTGCTTTTTGAGTCACACCCAGCGATGTACAGGGGTTACTCCTGGCTCTGCACTCAGTAACCACTCCTGGTGGTGCTCAGGGGACCATATGGAATGCTGGGAATCAAACCCAGGTCGGCCGCATGCAAGGCAAATACCCTACCCATTGTGCTATCGCTACAGCCCCACTTTTGGCTACCTTTGAACATAAAAATGTTTCTTCTTTATGGAGTATTCAGTATACTTTCTTTTATTTAGGTTTTTTATTTTGATCTTTTTTTTGGGGGGGGGGTTAATTCCAGAAGCTCAGGGGTCACTCCAGGCAGTGCATGTGATCATTTGTTTCCAGGGATCGAACCCCAGGGCTCCCACATCCGAAGCATGCAGCTCTTCGAGTCCTCTTCTTGACTCTATAGAGTAGGACTTCTTACACTTTTTTGACTTGTGATCATTTTCACCTGAGAAATGCCACACAAGAAAGCACCACCCAAAACACTTCAGATTCATGATATGTTTGATTTTGAATTAATTACTTATATCTTGTGTATTCAGACATCTTTTACTATTGTCAGACCTCTTGCAACCCCACTTTTAAGTTACTCAACTCCCTATGGGGTTGTTGTGACTCACAGTTCAAAAGTTAGGCGCGGGGCAATGGACTGGGCTCCAGGGTTCTGTCCCAACCCCTGCAGGGAGTCACTCACTAGATCAGAGTCAGGAGTATCTCTTGAACACTATCTATCAGGTGTAGCCCTAAAATAAAAGCTATGAAAAGAAAAGAAAAATGCCAGGCTATAGAGTATTGTTCTACTGTCCCGCTACTTCCTCCTATCCCACTTGCACATCTGATTGCACATTTGCACATAAGGACCAACTCCTCCAAGAAAACTGTCCTTTTCCATTTCTCAAGCTGCATGACACGCCTTTCCTCTGAGTTTCTGTCATCGTTCCAAACTGTATCACTATATCACTGTCATCCCATGGATCATCGATTTACTCAAGCGGGCGCCAGTAACATCTCCATTCCTCCCAGCCCTGAGATTTTAGTAGCCTCTCCTTACTTGTCTTTCCCAACGCTGCCATATTGGAGGCTCTTTCAGGGTCAGGGGAATGAGACGCATTATTGTTACCGTTTTTAGAATATCGAATACGCCATGGGTAATTTGCCAGGCTCTGCTGTGCATAGTTCCTTACTAGCCCAGAATTTATTCACTGATCCTAAAGAGTGCTGAGGTTGTTACAAGCAGAGTGTGTTCTGAGCTCTCAATGTAGAATATAATGATTACTAAGAGTAGACCCTAAATACACACTGTTAAAAGAGTGGTCAGACATAGAAGGACTGCACTCACTTTATGGAATATATAGTAACAGAATGGGAGACTAACACCCAAGGATAGTAAAGATAAGTACCAGGAGGATTGCTGCATGGCTTGGAAGCCAGTCTCACATGCTGGGGGAAAAGGCAGCTCACATAGAGAAGGGGCCACCAAGTAAAGTAAAGGATGCATGGAGGGCCTGTTCGGGATGGTAGATGTGTGCTGAAAGTAGACTATAGACTGAACATGATGACCACTTAATACCTGTATTGCCAACCACAACACCTAACAGGAGAGAGAGAGTAAAAGGGAATGTGCCTGCCACAGAGGCGGGGGTGGGGGGGGGTGGGGGGGGCACGAGGGATGGGGGGGTGTGGTGGGAGGAATACTGGGAACATTGGTGGTAGAGAATGGGCACTGGTGAAAGGATGGGTACTCGATCATTGTATGACTGAAATGTAAGCATGAAAGTTTGTAAATCTGTAACTGTACCTCATGGTGACTCATTAAAAAAAAAAAAGAGTGGTTAGAAACCTTTGGCTGGGAACTCTTTTCCCATAGTAGGTTTCTGCATGGGCATACTTTGCTGGTGTGGGCTGTGACTTTCCTGTCAGCTTCTTTAGGCCATGTTTTCAACAGGATCTACCTATCTTGTCTACAAGGGAGCCAGACCCTGAGAAAATCTTAGCCCCTCCTCACCCTTCCAACCTATACACTTATCTCCAGGCTGATTGAATGACAAGTACAAGTGGGAGGTGGTAGGTGTGATCTCAACTTGAGGTTTTTTTTTAAAAAGTGAAGTGCTTTCAAAAACTTGGGAGGACATTGGTTCCAGGGCACTGATGAGGTATTTCTGGGGTTTTGCCAACAAAGAAGAATGTGAAAAGAAGTGGCCTGGTATCTTTAGGCAATTCACATGTTTGGTCTTTGAG